ATTTAAATAATATAAATAAACCAACAAAACACTAGCGTGTGTGGTGGGTAAATGGAGAACTAATCGAGAGCGAGGGAAAGTTAATTTAGAACATCAGGTGTTATCAAAAATAGCTACTTTCTTTACGGAGTGATTAAATAATTGATAATAATTAATATTTATACCATCATAATCCATCATAATGTGACCTGTGAATATGATTACTCATAAAATGATTCTCTATTATGTATCTCGTGGTTGACATTGTTTACATAACATGGCATGGCAGGTTACAATACCAAGTCAAACACTGCACCAGATTACAACGAATGTAATCCAGTGTAATTGTGGGATCAACGAGAAATATGTTCCACGTGTTACTATTGACCAAATTGAAGCGTTATTTGTTCAAGCAGAGAGCCCCTTCAATAGAACCAATCGAGAAATACTGTTTTAAAAGGCAAACACCCGTAAAAGTTAACACTTTAAATTATTCATACATGTTAAACAATTACACTTAACACCATGTTAGTTAATTTTGGGATATAAATTCTTTACTAGAAACATATCAGATTCTCATTAAAGCTACCTAAAATAAAGGACTAAAATTGGAATTGTACCTTCTGTAAACTAACATATAGGCTTAATCAATTTACATGTTAAGGTCCATTTCCTATCCTGCGACTGTTACGACTCTAGTACGGCCGCGCGTACGGCTGGAGACGCTTGTCTCAATTCCTATGCCGCGACTCCTACGACTCCCACGATTAGTGACTAGTGAAATTGCACTACTGACCGTCATGGAATAAGCACAGTTGGCAGCGAATATATTACTTGGAGAAAAGGAGGTTAAGGAATTATTAACGTGCATGGTAAAAAACAATGAACAACCTAATCCATTGTTCATGGTACGGTGAAAATAGGGATTTCAGAGAATTCTTATTCAGAGAAATCTTCTTCAAGTATTGGGGGTGAACGTATGGGTGTAAATTTGTTGTAGTTTGCCTGTTTAATGACATATTTAAATACAATTTGGTGAATTTGTTATTTCATGCAAAGCTACAAAGATATTTCAATAAAAAACACACTAACTATCTCACGCAAACCTACGTAGGCCCACTCATTAAAATTTATATTATTTAATAGGAAATAAATCCAATTTTAAGGGGATAATTAAGTAGAATTCCAGCCAAGTGAATGGAAATTCACTTGATCTGAAGGTTTGCTACGGCGGGGGTATTTATTATTAGCTAACACGTAAAGATTGTGGGCTTTCTATGGTTGCTGAATAATGATGTTAATATTTTGTTGTATTAACAACTACGTTAATACCTTCTGGGAAAAACGCATTCCCTAAGATTAAAAAGAGAACGGGAAAGGCCCGGTGTAAAGACCTTAAACAAAATATCGTATGGTTATCATCAACAACCCCATTTCACTCATAGTACGGAGACAATTTTTCGTCTGAATAAGTCAAATGAAATTAAATGGAAAATTATTTTTTCTTTGAGGCAAATCTAAGACCACATGTCCCTTTCTTCCACTTAACCTGAGTGTTGTAGTTTGTGTGTAAATCAACGGTACTGTATCAGCAAACTGACGCACATCTTCTACCTGACGGTGGGACCGTGGGATGCCTATTCAGATTAGGCCCCTTAATTAAGTTGAGGAGGCCTATTGGATTAATATGCTTGCTCCGCTCAATTGCTTGCGCTATTGCAAGCAGACAACTGCATTGTTCACCTAGTACTGATTACGGGGAATTGTATAGTTTGCTAGAGCTATTATACAACCCTTGCTCAGGCTTCCTTACAAAGTATATGTAAGCATTTTATCACAACATTTAAATTAGATAGAACAAATACATTGTTATTTCAATGTATTATTTAGCTTCTCATGTTAGGAAGCAAATAAATTATACTCAATTGATGATATTGCTTTCCAAAAAGAATTCAGATTTAATTACAAAACACACTTAGATTTTTAAGTGCGACGAGTTCAAAATATTGTATATTATATAACTAAGGACCGATTAAAAAGTTCTGAAATCATTGCTTACGCATCAAGGTGGAATCATAGCTTTCTATGTAAAGCTTTGTCGAAATATTCACCAACCATTGAGAGATATCAATGCAAGTAAAGAGTAAAAACAAGAACAAGATTCCCAGAATACTTAAGTTATTTGCGTCAAATATATTGTACAGTGCACTGGGAAACGTCTTCCATTCTTTGACGCGCCATGTTGGACTTTGCTGCATTCAGTTACAAAGCCGCCTAGGCGAGTCTTTCAATCCATGAATAACTTTGTGTTTGAAAAATAAAACTACAATAGAATTTTTATATATTTATTTATTCCCTCTCAACGGTTACACCATTTAAAAAATTTTCATTGTATGTGCAAGAGTGCATTTGAACTCAAATGTATTATGAGAACATTTATGAAAATGAATAAAATGTAGCCTAAACAACGTATAACATGTACACTCTGGAATGTATATTGAATGCGACATATAAAGTGTCTGTAAGATGATTATTTAACTAATTAATCGTACACGTAATTAACTCAAACGCTTTAAAACCAAATCAAATTAACGTTATTGTAATGTTCAATGCCGTACTATCAATTTCGGAAGAACTAAGCCTATCTTGTATATCATTGACCTTTACCTCATGTTTAGACCATTATCAATTTGTTTAACGTAATTACTAATGATGAGTAAAAAATCCATTTCCTAGTTATTAAGCGTGAAACATGGTTATTTTGATTAGAATTCAACAATGAGAATGAAAATAACTCCCACATTTTATTACTCACTGCTCGAATTATGAAATCCCACAACCTGTTCAAATATGTGAAAAGATCAAAGCTTAACATTCATCCAGTTGTGAAATTACGTTTGGATTTAGATATTCAAAGTTTGATGTATTTATTACTTAAGCCCCCATATATTACTTTCTCCCCCTATACCATAGTATATGGAGAAAGTATTGTTTTCGTCAAAATTTTCGAGTTTGAGTTCTGAGTGATATATTCGTTTTGGGTCCCCCTGGACCCAAAAAAGTGGTTTTCGAAGTGATGTCTGTGTGTGTGTGTGTGTGTGTGTCTGTGTGTCTGGATGTGTACAGAGCTAGAGACTACACCTGTGGTCCGATTTCGATGAAATTTGGTATGTAGGTTCTAATCCATGGTATCTCCAGGCGTTTTTTCATTTTTTTGAAATTTTGATTTTTAATGGGAATTTTCCCATAAAAACCCATAAAAAACCGGAAAAATCGAATTTTCTCAAAAATGGCCCGAACGATTTTGATAAAAATTTAGTATGTTGTAGCCCTTTAAATTCTGAACAAACTGGTGAAAATCCCATTTCTCTAAAAATTACGGTTCAAAAGTAATGGTAAATTATGTTATTTTCCCATAAAAACCGCATAAAATAACGAAAAATAGGATTTTAGAAAAAAATCCTGTTTTTATTCAACATAGTATGTTATGGTCCTTACAATTTTGATAGTTTCTTCAATTTTTTAGAAATATTTATTTTTAATGGGGATTTTCCCATAAATCCCCATAAAATAACGGAAAAATAGGATTTTCCCAAAACGGCCAAAACGATTTTGATAAAAATTTAGTATGTTATGGTCCTTTATATTCAGAACAAAATGGTGCAAATCCCATTTCTGTAAAAATTACGTTTTAAAAGTTATTTTAAATTATGTTATTTTCCCATAAAACCCCATAAAATAACGGAAAAATCAGATTTTTCCAAAAATGGCCCGAACTATTTTAATAAAAATTTAGTAGGTTATAGTCCTTTAAATTCTGAACAAAATTGTACAAATCCCATTTCCGTATATTTACTGTCACCGCTTACACATGATAAAGGTTGTTGACAAACTTATGGGAGAAAGTATGTGTCAGAATGCTGATACCGTTTATTTTAACATTGCATTTATGCTGCAACAATTCACAGTTCCCAACAAACTTGCTGATGTTTGCTATATCGTGACCTGAATACAACTTCTAGTTACAAAACATAGAGATGAACTTTTTAATTTATTAACTAAAGTTGGATTGTGTGATTTGATCTGATAGTTCAGACGGGTCATCGACTCTCCATCCATCACACAGTCATTGTTAGGCTTACTGAGGACTTGACAAAAGCTTAAGCGAGACTAAACTTTGTCTTTTGTCCCAACTTTGACCCTCCTTCATAGAAACTTACTTATGGAGGATTAATACTTATAAAGACGTCAAAACTTTCAGATGGATCTATATTGCACTATTCAGATCAACATAATTGTCTTTGAATACACATTATACACATATCTCGTAACTACCGCTTATGTTCCACAACTTTAAACTGTAAAAACTAGATATTCAAATCACATTTAAAATATAGTTGCAATTTTAATAACGTATAAAAAACATAATGTTCATGCATGAGATACCTTAATTCTAGATGACTTTGACGTTTTTACTTTGTATTCTTACTCATCTGGTAAACCTATCTATACTATACTAATACCACAGAAAACATATACTACTATAACCACTATACTAAACTTGGAGAAACCCCCTTTCCTATAGAAATGAAAAATGAATAATTGATTTCATTGAAATATTTTTTTAAAACTTCTTCCAGGGTGTCTTTCTTAAATTCTTTACAACCGTGACACATAATCAGGCCACACAGTCAGGCTTATACAGTAAAGAAGGACTGGCCACGGTGCGTAAAGCGAACATGATATCTGAATTTGTAATCTTTACCACTACGATTCTTCTATAGTCTATTTAAAGCTGCACTGTTCATTTACCTGCTGCCTATAAAAGGTTAGGTCAGATTACATTCTTTGAGCTGAATTGATGAACATTCGAATATCTGAATCAGATAAATCCATTATTTATCTTGCTTCTAGTTTCATTTGATGTACAATTGTTGATTCATTGGTCAACCCTTTATGTACATACGGAAAATCTAATGATAAATATTAGATTTTATGGAAAGCTCCATCTACTGTTGCAGGTGTACAGCTTGGACTATGGGTGACATCACAGTAGACGATGTGGCTTCATGTGAGCAGAGTAGTAGTGACGATGGCATTGGAAAACCGACAGAGAACAACAATATTGACACTAGTCCATCACTAGCTCAAACCTCTCAAGATCTAGGAAGTGCTCGCGAACAAAATAACCTCATCAGCAGTGATAGTAGGAAACCAAGTATTGACAAACGAGTGAGGTTTTCAGAGAAAATCGAAAATGTCAATATAGAGGAGTCGTCAACAAACAACGACTTGAGTCTGCAGTCAGCCGTCAGCAGAGAGACCAGAGTAGTCTGGGAGATGATCACCGATGGACAGAAGGAAGCCGTCAAGTGGCCACACAAAGACTCAACCGCATCAACAGACTCCGTGTTCGTATATGACCAGCCCGAGGACGCACTGTCCGGCGGCAAGATGGTGACAGATTTGGACGAAGACGACGAACCGAATAAAGCCATCGGGGGACGAAATGTGTTCAAGGATTTACTAGAAGTGCGAAAACTTGAAAACGCGTCAGTTTCAGCTGGGGACGGCGGGTTGGAGGCGGGGGGTGGCGGCGCGGCGTCGCATTCTACTCACAGCTGCGGCTCGTTGTTCGCTCAGTGCGGCGCGCACCGTGGCCAGGGACACAGTCTGGTCACAACGTTCAGTCAGGGACGACTGAAGCACGTGGAGTCCGATGACACGTATGACGGTCCGGTCAGTCTGACGGAGATACTGCACGAGCGAGACGCGGGGCCGAGCCGCATGTGCCTCATGGGGAACGGAGTGTCGAACATTGGCAAGGGGGAGAGATCTCCCGAGGGTCCGGTGGCTGGGGCTGGGGCTGTGGCAGTGGCGGGAGCGGGGGTGGTGGTGGTGCTGAAGAACCAGATCAAGCAGTGGGAGGAGCGGTCCACGGAGCTGGGGGAGGAGGTGGCAGAGCTCAGGAAGGAAGTCAAGAGAAAGGATCACGAGATACTGCGACTGCAGAGGGAAGTCCACAAGTTAAAGGTACTCAAACTATATCTTACATGTAGTAATAAAATAACTTACTGTATAAAGGAAAAGCTATACCTAGAACTAACACTGCAAGACAAACCAAAATAACGCATCCACAAATAGTTCAATCAAATGAATGTCTTTAGTGACTATGTTATGATTATCATGTCATGATTTATCGTTTTACATAAACGTTAAATCGTGCACCATAATTTATTTAAGTTCTTGTTCGTGCTCAATTATTTATGCTATTTCTATGGATTTTATCAAATATAAGTAAATTGCGATTGAACCGATCTAATTAATATGATTGTGACACAAAGTAGGACGAATCGTTAGTCACAACTTATGGAATTGTTTTGAACTCCAAAATAACTCTACAGTATTGCCAAAGGTGAATAGACACTTAACCGTTTGCCATTTTTAAGAGCCTTTTCTTACAGTACCGTATTATTTATGTATCGGGAGATACAGGACTATTGAAATACGAGGACTAACATGATGTTAATACAGTGTTATTACACTGCAAGTGAGGTGAAAATATTAAGTTTTACCATTGACTATATAGTCAAAGGTTTTACCCAGTGATTTTACTGACTAAATAAGGGTTTATTTAAATAATATATAGGTAAATTTGTAATGTTCCTCATACATATTAGTTCATTAAATGAACTTACTGGTACATTATTAGTTAACAACGATTATACAAACATAGCTGTTCTTAGACAAAAACACAACACCCAGGGTAGCCAGGGTATTTATTGCTCACCTTAAAATATAAAACCTCACCTAGTTAGATTCTAAGCAACTTTGATTCTGGACTTAATACTTTAATCCTTTACTTTGAAACGGCGACTAAACGAAAGTAGGTATTAAGAGTCAAGTATGAATGGAGATGAGTGTAGGATGAGTGGCGCGATCTTGTAGGTTTGTTAGTGACTAAGGCTGACATATTCCTTAGACACAGTTGCACAGTACATGCCTACAAATATCCAAAATTCGTTAAAGGCAATTGGGCTATTATTGATGCTATCTAACTCTAACAAAAGTTTGACTAAGTACAAAGACCAGGCTTTCGGTTGCCCCTATATAAAGCGTAACAAATTCCAATGTCTTAAATCATTATAAAATAACAAAATAAAAAATATATAATGTGAACGAAAATATATGTTGTAAACGTTATTTGATAAAAAAAGGCTTGAGGGTTTCTTCGTAAGAGAATTTGACAATAACATTAAGTTAAACGTCATGTAGCGTGACCAGACCATTTACCATTGCAAGGTAGTCGTCGTCGTCACAAACAGTACTACATTATACAGACTTACTGCTCATCGGGGACTCACTACAACGAGATACGTACTCATCGGCTCCCTGCACTGCTGAGTTTTAAACTGAAGAAATTAATCGCCAGAGTACAACATAGTGAATCAATATAAATCGGCTAAACGTTTCTGGTCTTTAATTTTTCCCGATAAAAAAAATCAACTCGATCAATTGTTTCATGCGTATTTCACGTGCGCAGTGATATTGCTACACTACAGTACCAGTACCGTAGAGTTGACATTTCATGATAAAGTTGAAAAAAAACAACTACAAGAAATACGTAACTCCAACTAAGCGTATACAAGAGAATTCTGCACTGAAATATATATTTAATTTTTCACACACTAATTTTTATATCGTTCCAAACTGAAGTGTAAACTTATCAAAACCATAAAATTTATTTTCCTTTTGTGTAACAAAACTGAAAGAGTATGCCGAATTTCAATATTGAAGCGCACTCTTAGACAGGATCAACTCCGAGTTCATAATTGATTGTAAATGGTAATCAACACTTGCAATGTTTCAAACATTTACTGAGTAACATTGTTTAGGTTTAAGTTATTACACGATGAAAGTCTACATCTCTATATAAGTCTACATAAGTCTAAAGAAAATAGGTATTTTTTTAACTATGCTGTTGCAATAAATCTGAATTTCACTAACGCAATATATACAATAACTATGTAGTTTTAAGTCAAAATTGGAGTCAAATCCATAGAAACTCTACACAAAACTAACAACTAAGATTATTTTCAGAGTACTGTAAGGTAAGTAACGCAATTGTCTGTTTACTCTAAAGGTCGAAGTTGGGAAACGACGATAGGTGAGATTGATTGCTTAACTCTGTAGTGTTAATTCAGGAAGTCTTTTATCTGCTGAGATCATATTCCCTGCAATCTGCATCCTTAATCAGTATTATTCATTTTTTAATTTCTGTGCATTAGGAATAATTTTGCAAATCCTCAGAAAAGTCATAATTTTGAACAGAAGCGTTTAAACATAGTGGAAAATTCTTAATGTTTTGCACTTATTTTTAATTTGTTATGTCTTAACTTTAAACTGAATCGCTGACTGTAGGACAGTTAGTTCTAGCCAGGAGCTTTTTACACATTTACTTCAGGCTATCCCTAGAGGGATTTGAACCTGTCACCTCCGGCTCTGAAGCCCCACGCTCTACCACTAGTATTATACTTGAAAAAAGTGTTACTCAATCATCCAACAAAGGTCAGCTAGAAATGGAAACCTATTTTACAAAAAATAATTCTAGTTTGAACTGCCACTGACAATGAGGCTTGCTTGTAGACAATTTTGTTTTAGCCTTACTAATATTAATTAATTGACTGCTTATATTAAAATTATAACTTCCTGAGTATGTATTAAAATTTTATTGATCTCGAGGAGATAACTTAAACTTGGTAGGTAGAAAATTCACTAAGATTTGTTGCACCTAGATATTAAATATTTTTGATCATCGTTATTGATTTTACAATATCGGCCAATTTGTGTGTGTCTTCTATGACAGAAAAATTGCTGAACCTTTTAATAAGGCTTTGTCTTAGAGACAATTTTCTCAAACTAAAGTTAAAAGCAAGTTAGCCACTTATTTCAAAGAAAGGATATTTGATCTCACTCCATTATGTTAATTTAGCAATTACAATACTTCTTTGTTTTTCTGTATGCCTTTTTTCACGTAACTCTAGCCCATTTAAAATCATTTCGTATCAAATTATTTTAAAATAAGTTTTTAAAGGAACCCTAAAATTATTTGAATCCAATTTATAAATTAAGAAAATAGTTTCTTTTGTACAAGTGAATTTCCTTTCATATAAAATTGTCTAATCTGTGCCAATGAATAATCTAAGTAGCACAATTTGTGGCAGCGGACATTCTCCACCTTATATTTAATATAAGTTGACAAAATGAAGATGATCCAGAGATCCATTTAATTACACAAGTTTGATAATTATTCACAGATATGTTTGTTGATACCAGTTTGAGAAAATGATAACTGAAGAAGGTAAATTTTACATAATTCTATACAACGCACTCAGTGTTTCACTTAATATTTAGTTCTCGCGCGTCTTAAGTAATAAGTTCAACTCTAATGGAGTGCGCTTCTCAGAACCACCCCCAAGTTACAGTGTCTACGTACCTTGAAAGAAACGTCTCCCGTAGGTACGTCACACCTTAATTATTAAAGTCTCATTATATTCACCTCATACTATGAATATTACGATAAATTTCTAAAAAGTAACTTAGTGGTTAAAAACCTCTACTAGTGCGGTCATGGGACAGAAGGCGTGCTGATTTAGTGTTCAGTGATAACCCTGCTATTAGTCATGTGATATTTATTTTACTTGGTGGTTTGGCCCTTATCTTCAGCTCTATAACCCATCTAAAATAAATGTAAAAAAACTAACTATGAATCCTAGGCGAGCAACTTTTTTTGTTTGTTTGAAGGATTTCTCCACTTGATACAGTAGGCCTACTATAACAGTAACTTTTAAAGTAGGTTAACAAATAGGGGGAAATTTTGATTTATAGTTTTAAAGTTTATGGTGTTTGAGGTAGAATAGACAACACTGTCAAACCGATCTGGTAAAAAATCTTGTATTCAGTAGGCATACACTCTATAATATCCCAACATAAATGTATTTTTAAATACTTTTTAATCTTTGGAATTTTAGACACAAGTCTCTTTGCGATCTGATTAATAAAAACGCATTATAATATACTATACTTGAATTTTGTAAAGAAGCCTAAGAAGGAAATGAAGCTTGCGTGATAACCATTCGTAAATGTTTGAGACTCAGTCTTTACTTGGCCGACTTGTCATGCTGATGGCCTTCTGTCTTAAACATATCAGCGGAAGTCCTGGCAGGAACTACAACGATACTTCAAGTGACCGCTTTGTTTTATCAACTTTAATGTAAATAGGTCACTACGTGACGCCGGTATTGAGATAATGACAAGGTTTTATGACAAGTTAAAGTTTGGGTTTGAAATTAACTATTCAATGAATCTTTAGGATCTTTTTGATTGATAAAATGGTTTCTAATAACAACTAAATAATACATTATGAGTATACCCAATTTTAACAAAAACCTGTCATATATTTCACTACCTAAAGTCGATTTTTAATCCCAGTATAGTAGTAATTATACTAAAAATCTTGATAACGTAAAGCTTATTACTAAAGTTATAAGTTTGCAGCCGTGCAAGTTGCTTAATAGCCTTATAGCTTATAGCTTTCTGTCATTACTTCATGTCAAGTGTTAGAATTTATTACATGGTCCATAAAAAATATGAGTGAGGAGGGGATTTTCTGCATATCACATATGTAAGTGTTCACACAATAGACAGTAACACACAATCGCTCACTCATTAGACACCGCTTACAACAAAACCTCTTCCTGTGAGTTGCTCATTATAGCCGTATGTCTTTACTTCATGTCAAGTGCTAGAATGTATTACATAGTCAATACAGAATGTATGTGTATATAAGTGTTCACATAATAGACAGTGACACAGAATCGCTCACTCATTAGACACCGCTTACAACAAAACCTCTTCCTTTGAGCTTCTCATTATAGCCGTATGTCTTTACTTCATGTCAAGTGCTAGAATGTATTACATAGTCAATACAGAATGTATGTGTATATAAGTGTTCACATAATAGACAGTGACACACAATCGCTCAATCATTAGACACCGCTTACATACAAAACCTCTTCCTGTGAGTTGCTCATTATAGCCGTATGTCATTGCTACTTGTCAAGTGCTAG